ATCACATATTTCTCATAAAATTATCCATTTCCTCCCTGGAAAAAATTCAATTAGAATTGAGTTCTTTCTCCTAAAATGAATACTTGCCCCTGCCCAAGCTTTTGAATTATTTGTTTATTGAAGTTCATTTTTAAGTTACTTCAAATTATTTCTCCCCCCAAAAATTGACCTACTTCTCACAAAGTACAAATATTTTGAATGATTTTCCTCACAAATTTTAAGACATTTTTCTAGTGCAATAAACTTTTGTTACAAATTATGATTCTTTTCTTGTTTCTCTTTAACTGCCAACTTTGTCCTCATCGTAAAATTGGATTGAAGTGGCCTTTTAAAAATTGGTTTGACTTCCTCAAACCTGCATCTACCCTGTAAATTTCCAATCTTTGGCTGATGCAGGAGGCAAAGGGCCTCATCCGCTCCCAATCAGAAATGTCACTGCCGAGTGCCTTTGTTTCGTCGTGACAAAAACACATCTGTCTTTTTGCGGGTGGATGTTCAGGTAAGAAGAACAAGCTGCGCGTTTACTACTTGTCATGGCTGCGGAACAAGATTTTGCACAACGACCCCGAGGTGGAGAAGAAACAAGGCTGGACCACCGTGGGCGACCTGGAAGGTTGCGTCCACTACAAAGTCGGTCAGTCCCACCCGCCGCACCAAAGTCTCGTGCCCACACCTTTTCTCCAGTTATTAACTTGGAATTCTGACCCGCAGTCAAGTACGAGAGGATCAAGTTCTTGGTTCTGGCCTTGAAGAACTCTGTGGAGGTCTACGCTTGGGCGCCCAAACCATACCACAAGTTCATGGCCTTCAAGGTGAGGAGTCGAGGCGGAACTGCTAAAATTTGAGATCATCAGACAAAGCTGCGGGTGCTATTGTTGGAAAGTCTGTGGATTGAATCTCCTCTTTTTTTCTTGATTAAAAAAACTTTCTCCACTTTCTCCACGATAACCCGCTACGTTTTTTTTTCCCCCATTCTTTGAACCCTGCGGCTTATAATGCATGCATCGTTTATTTATTTTTACTGATGAGCTTGAAGCCACCCATAGATTGACCCGTGGTCCTTGCTTTGGCGCTACTTAATTGTTTTAGAACGTATTTGTCATATTTTTATTTTAGGTTTGGGAAATTGCAATTTATTATTTCTTGTAAAATGATCACTTTTTCTTGAAATATTTAGGCTTTATTTTTCTATGTATTTTTTGTAAAAAGACTCAAGTTGTAAAATTAGGACTTTTTCCTCATAAAATTCTTATATGATTATAAAATAATTTGCAACTTGTTTTTTGTAAAATGTTTTTTTGTTTTTTTTTTAAATCACGTAACTTCAGATGAACAGTAACTAGCCGCGGAGGACCAGAATCCCTTTTTTTGCAGTTGTGCTCGGCAGTGTTCAATCTCTTCTTCTTTTTGGGACTCCAGTCTTTCGGCGAGCTGGTCCACAAGCCTCTGCTGGTGGACTTGACGGTGGAGGAGGGCCAGAGGTTGAAGGTGATCTACGGCTCCTGCTCGGGCTTCCACGCCGTGGATGTGGACTCCGGGGCGGTCTACGACATTTACCTACCGACCCACGTAAGAGAAGGGCAAAAAAACCCAACGGCTTTTCTCCTTGATGAACGAGGGAGTTGATGTGGACGCTTTGCTATGCGCAGATCCAAACGCACATTCAGTCTCACGCCATCATCATCCTGCCCAACACGGACGGCATCGAGCTGCTCGTTTGCTACGAGGACGAGGGCGTCTACGTCAACACCTACGGACGCATCACCAAGGACGTGGTGCTGCAATGGGGGGAGATGCCCACCTCTGTCGGTGAGACTGCTAATGCCAAAAACGCCGGCCACCTACTCACCAAGAACTCCAATTAATGTCCAAATTCAATTTAGTTTTTTTTTTTTTTTTGTAATTTGTTTTTCTCTTCCCATGAAAATCCCAGCAACAAACCTGTACAATTTCTGACTTTATTTTCTTAAAAAAAAAAAAAAAGACCATTTATCGTAAGATTATTTTTCTTGTCAAGTTGTGAATTTTTTCCTGATGATGTCAATTGTTTCTCGTAAATAATTTTTTCTCCTAAAGTTAACGGTTTTATTTTTGTCAAGTGAGGTCTTTATTCTCATGAAATTTCATTTGGGTTCTCAACTTTTGAGTCGTCATCTTTGAAAAAGATCACTCCGATTATTATTACTAGTTTTAATAAAACCCTTCCAGCAGTTCACAAACCTTGACGTTTCCATTGATGCATACCTTAATTTTAGTGTCTGAATGTGTCAGTTGAATTTTTTTTATTTTTATTTTTTGCAGCCTACATCCGCTCCAACCAGATCATGGGCTGGGGCGAGAAGGCCATCGAGATCCGCTCGGTAGAGACGGGCCACCTGGACGGCGTCTTCATGCACAAGAGGGCCCAGAGACTCAAGTTCCTCTGTGAGAGGAACGACAAGGTGAGCCAGGCTTAAGTTCTTAAATCTCCCACCAGGCCAGTAGTCACCCAGTGCCATTCACCCCAAGAAGATACCCAGTCACACAACCCCAAAGCTGGAGCAGTCCAAAAAAAGTAACATGCGTTCCTAAGTATGTGTGTATTTTCCCTCAGGTGTTCTTCGCCTCGGTGCGGTCCGGAGGGTCCAGTCAGGTCTACTTCATGACGCTGGGCCGAAGCAACCTGCTCAGCTGGTAGACGTCTTCCTCTTCTTCCTCCTCCACTTCCACTTCCTTTTGTTCCACCGCCTGGCCTTCGCTAACACTGGATCTCAGAAGCCGACCACTTCTACAATCGCAACCCCATCGGGCCCCAACCGGACCCACGAACAAGGACTCCACGTACCCTTCCATGACAGGAGGAAGGGGTCAAATGTGAATTCCCGGAGAAAGAAACCCCCCCCAAAATTTCCTGGTGCTCGTCATATTCGTCCTCGTGGTTTTTTTCCCCAGACTTTGAACATCTTCGAACCATCGGAAAAGTTTTAACGAGTCCGTAAATGTGCGTCAGTGTTCTTTTGTGACTGGGATGACGGATGATGATGATGATGATGAAGATGAAGAAGATGAAGCCACTCCTGATGATGAAGTACCTCATCAAGGTAACCCGCAAAGTATGCGGGGACTCATTTTGGGCAGGAAGTGAGGGTAAAAAAGGACAAAGTGTATTCTTTTTTCTTATTCCTCCCACATGAGCGTGAATATTTGTGTTTTACCTTATTTTATTTGTTTTTATGAATAATATTAATATGATTATTTTGCAATGCACATTCAGCCCTGACCCCACTGTCTTGCTTGTTTCCACCCACAGAGGGCAACATGCTGTCGGCACAGAATGTGTGCATACCAAAAAAAGAAGTCAATAAAGTTGTGTATGTACAAAAAATATATAATATTAATAATATCTGTGAATAGAAAAAAATGATTTATTGATGAGAAAGTGGGTGTGTTTGTGAAGCATGAGATAATGATGATGATATCCTAGTGCTCTGAATTTTTGCAGTTGGCGCCAGAATACAAACAAAACTGAGAAGGGGGAAAAAAATCCCTGGATGCCTGTTAGAATGCCAACTGTGGAAACCTTTGGAAGATGCCATTTTTCGGGCAACAGTTACCATGGCAATGATAAAGTCATGCCAAACAGCCCAAGCTGGATCACAATGAATTTGGGGAGACAGGAAAAAAAAGAACCCTCAATGGCCTCCTGTTACCATGTGTCAGAGATTTTCTCGGACAAAGTTAAAGAAATGACTCGGCACACAGGAAAATTGTCTTCAATATCGGCGGGAGGGGGATCTCTGAGAGCGAACGACGGTAGTTGCTCCGATGATCACACTCTCGAGCTCCCTTCCCGCCAATTCCGACTTTTATTGTAACATACAAGGAAAACACTGCCCCCGACATTTGCATACCGCACCCCCGGTCCGGCCCCTCGGTGGTGATTGGTTACCTGTTTTTTAAACTTGAACCACCAGTACGTTGGCGCCTTTTCTGTCTGGTCTACATCGAATTAACATGTTGCAGACTTTGCGGACGACAAATGTCGCCTGGGCGCGACGGGTGTTCTCAACTCGTCTTTTGTTGTTCAACCGCTGTTCCCAAATTATTCATTCCCCTTTTGTGACCGAGTTTCGCCCACTCCCCTGTGATTGCCCACCTGCATTGACGTGCTAATTGTGGACTTCAACAGCCCTCCGGCCAGGTGGCCGGCGCCTATGTGCACAGGCATTTGGAGGTGCTGGATACGCACCCAAACGTTTAGATGTGCCCAAATTAAATGAAACTTTAAACATGATACAATTTTGCTCATAGATTTCTCTAACACCATGGCAACTGTGGAAGACTTCAGAAGACAAAATGGTGACTTAACCCACACATGGATGTCGTGTTGTTTACCTTAACAACCATGACAAGGATGTCATGGCAACATTCCAAATGTTTCAGAAACTGTAGCCGGGTCACAATCACACAAAGTCCTCAGTGGAATCCTGTGACCACGGCAAACTGTCGAAGACTGACAACAATGGTTCACCCCACACACACACACATACAACTGAACACAATTTTATGTATGACACGACAGTTACCATAGCAACAATGACATGGATGTCATAGAGGCAGACAGTCCTCCCTGGACCTGGTTTACCATAGCAACTGTGGAAGACAAACATCCCTGGACAAATGGGTGCCATTTTGTGTTTGGGACAGTTACCCTCGTGGGTGTCATGGCAACGGTCCAGATGCTGAAGAAGCTGGAGCCAGGTCACAAAGGCAGGAAGCCCTCCCTGGACTCCGTGGCAACCTTGGAAGACTTTGGAAGAGACAAAATGGTGGCTTAACTCCCTTATACTTGGAGGCCATTTTGTGTTTGGAATAACCGACAGCAAGCGACATTGACGAGGTTGCGATGGTTACATTGGGGAAGTTCCGAGAAGCTGGAAGGGGATCACAAATTGGGGGGGGGGGGGGGGGGGCACCAAAGTTACAAGTATGTGTTAAAAAACAACAACAATGAGACTTAAAATCCAAGTGAGGATCAGTACAGGTTCAGGTTATTGTAATATCTCTACTTTAGAACACAGTTGAATTTGGATATACTCTGAAAAAAATATTTAGGTGTGAAAAATGGAATCTGAATCTTGCTCATTAGTCAGTGATCAGATGCTATTCTTCAACCAATCGGGAAAACATTTTTTTTTCAATGTTGGAAAGAACCCCCTTGATTTTTAATATCCCCTGACTAGAGCTCGGATTTGCGCCAAAAATCTGCGGCAGAAGAAAATGTTTTTTTCCTCTTTGGTCCCATTTTATATCCTTCTATGTTGCTCCTAGCCTAATCCTAGCTAGTGCTAATCCACTTCATCTCTCAGGTACACCATCCCAAATTTGAAAACTCCCTTTCATTTTTTGCTAACATGACGTTAGCCGGCCAACTTCAAGGCACTAGCTGGCCAAATAATCCCGTCGCTGGACCGCGTTTGTCTGCCAAATATTCACATTGCGAGGACGGCATTAGCCGGCCAAATATTCACACTAATATTTCCAGACGAACGTACGTGGCGTTCACGTAGGTGTAGTCCCCATGCAGATACAGTAGGTCAAACATTTCGCTCTGACAACAATGATGCGCTCTGATTTAATTTGGAAAAATGTGATTTGGCATTGTTTTCAATCGTCAATTCACGACTCCATTCAACTCGCCACCGATTCGTGCACAGCCTGTAACCAATTGTTTTAGGGATCAACATGTCTTCAGTACGGAAACAGTTTCCAGTTCGTTGCCACGTGTCAGATCCAGGCAAGAACGATTTTAATTTGTTATCTTCTTGGATGACGGTCAATTTATCTGATTGTCAAAGACTGAAGCTGTGCTGGAGCAGGTTTCTGATTGTTAGTCCCTCCTCAGCCACGACCCAGTTATCCGCCACGACGCTTTAAACGTTCAGGAACGATCGTTTTCGATCTTGTAAGAACCCTATTGAGGAGTGCAGACATATTGAGTGGGCTGTGTCGTGGTCCTCAGCATTGCTGATATTCTTAGCATTGTCCGTGTCAATGCGCATAAACTTTCGGTGTTGGGAGTTACTTGAAACGTTGTCTATAAAGACATTGTAAAGCTAGCTAACGAAAGCCTGACGCAAGTTTTACCTTCTTTTTTTTTATTTGTTTGTTTGTTTTTTGTTGGTGTGATTTTTCAGAAAACACTTCCACGACGTTTTGTTCAACTGTATGTTTACTTGTTGATGCATTCACTTCCTGTCAGCTCCCCGCTAACAGTGCTAATGTGTGTGTGCGCTACAGGATGTCTTTGTTTCTTTGAATAAACTTAAGGAAAACATTTGAGCGAGGTGGGATGTCTTTGTTTGAAATATTTTGTACACTGGATTCTTAAAACATTCGCATTTATTCCATTTTCCTTGTAATGTGACATATGTGTCGTTCTAGAAATGACCTGCCACCACGCCTGCCTTGTGCTGTGTGATTTTGTGGAGTACAAAGTGTGTGTTCGGGAAACCTTGGAATTTACCTTCTTGTGCGACCTTAAAACAAAACACTATCAGGAAGCTGACTGAATGTAAGTACACATTGTCTCCGGAAGTAATAGGACTTTGTGTTCCTGTTGGGTACTAGTTTAATTCACTAGTTTTATTAATACAGGATTATAGGATTATTGCCATTGTTATAGGTGGCTTGTTCCACATGTTATGTTGTTGTTGTTTTTTTAAATAATTTTATTTATTTTTAAACACATTTTGAGCTGGATCTTATTTCATGAATGGGGTTTTCCTCAATGACACAAACACTCATTGATAGGATTACACTGACACATCACTCGTGTGTGTGTGTGTGTGTGCGTGTGTGTGTGTGTGTGTGTGTGTGTGTGTGTGTGTGTGTGTTATTTACTACTTTGTATGGTACTTAGTGTGAAACTACTCCTGAATGTTGACATGAAGATGACATATTACTGTAACTCATTCGCTGCCATTGATGGCTGTAATGGTCAAAGATCCATTTTAACTGGCAGGACTACCAGTCTTAAATGTTTAAAAATGCAATATAAAAGAACAAAAAAATACACATGTGACAGTGTGGCTGGAAAAAATGTTAAAAACCCAATCTTTGTCATTGTTAAAAGCAATGTTTAAACCACTATCAATTTTATGTAGACTTCTAGATATAAACAAAATGGTACAATTAGCTCCTTTTCTGTGTTTTTGTGTGTGTTTTTGTGTAATCTCCTGAGGAAATGGAAGCAGAAGTGAAGCTTTGAAGGAAAATGAGAATTTTAAGTTCACACCATGTCAAATCCTAAGTATATGACTATTTATTGTCATTCTGATATCCATATATATATATATGCTTTGTTAAAATCTGTTTAAACCATTTTATTTTCCATTACGTATGTGAGTCAGACCACAGTTGGTCCATCGTGCGGTTGCGGCATTTCAATGACGACCGATGATGTCATCATCGTCTACTTAAGAGTCTGACTTGCGATGGGGACCCTCACTCAGGGAAGTCCGAAGCGGTCGCCATGGTGGCTTGAAAGCCATCCGCTGTCCCACCGCGTTGGACGCTTCTGCAACCCGCGGCCATGTCGGCCATCTTGGCGTTGATGATGCTAGCCGTTGAGTTGGCTCACGGATGGAGATTCCCGCTCCCGCCGATGCTTGTGAAGGGTAAGCAGCCCCCACCCCCTCAAAAAAAAAAAATACAAAAAGATAAGAGTAACATTTGCAAATGTTATTTAAAATATTGGGGGGGAAAAAACAGCAACTAGGTGAATCTGCATTTGCCAAACCGCAAGTAAGTGGGGGTGCGCCGTGCGCGATTTATTTTCTTCTGAAGCATGTACCTTGAGGAAAGACATGACAATGTTAAATAATATAAACAGTGTGTGTCTGAATGACATCATCATGACTCAACATTGTCTTCCTGAACGTGCTTGTTGCGTTGCTTCTTTCTGACAGACGGCTGCTTCGTGGTGGCGGCTGAGTTGGATCTCTTCCGTCTGGAGGGGGAGGCGGTCACCGTGTCTTTTCCCTACTTCCGGAAGGCACTCAAAGTACGACGCATTGAGCCACCAGACGCCTCCTTACGCATCTCGAAGGGTAACCGCACCCACGATGCCGGAGAGGGCCGAGTCCGGCTTCTCGGCCCGGAATTGTGGCTCCTTCCGGCCTGGCGCTCGGACTCTGGCGAGTACACCTGCACTTTCAGGTAACATAAAGCTTTTCAAAAATATTGCTTTAAAAATGTGAAAATGCTGTAAAGAAATGTTTAAAGGTCAACGATAAGTCTCAAAGGAATGTTAAAAACACTCCAAAATGTTAAGAATACTTCTAAATATGAAGAAGATTAAAAGTTGATAAATTTTTAACAATATTAAATGTTTAAGAATAAATCTAACAACACTACTAAATGTGAAAAAGTAAAAATTACAAATATTTTTTTAAAAAACAGTGCTACATTTTACATAGGTCTACTATAAATGTGAAAAAGTAAAAATTACAAATATTTTTTTTCAAAAACAGTGCTACATTTTAAATAGGTCTACTATTTTAAAAAAAAATTCTCAGTCCTAAAAACAATGTTGAATAAATAATAATGGTAAAAAAAAAACAAAAAAACGAATGCTATAAAAAATAAAAATTAAAAAAAAAAAAAAACGAATGTTATAATAAATAAAAATCGCTTACAAATTTTACAAAATGTTACCAAATGGAAAACATGGCAAAATGTTAAAATACTACCAGAAAAAAAAAGTAAAAAGAAATTACCACAAAATGTAAAAAATACCATAAAATGTGCGGGAAAAAACTACCATATGAAACAGAATGTCACAAATACTACTGGAAGTTTAAAAAAATGCTTCTAAATGTAAAAAAAGTAAATATTCAAAACATGACAAAAGCACTTTTAACTGGTTGGCCATGCTTGTCTTGTTGTTGCTGCTGCTGCTGCTGCTGCTGCTGTTGCCTTGGCGACGAAGAAACGCGACATACTGCATCCAAGGTAGCGTGACGCTGCGGGTGTACGCCGCATTAGCAGTGGGCGTGGACAACCTTTCATACGAGTACAACGCCACGCTGGGAGAAAACGTGACGCTCAGATGTCCCGTGAAGAAACGATTGTCCCACACTCGTGTCCAGTGGTACAAGGTGAGAGCAATGCCGCCCTCGAGCTGCCCGATTGAACTTTGTGTGGACATTCCAGTCCTGAAGGGGGCAGTGTGGCTCAATCAAGCGTTCGAAACGCCACGACGGTCACGTTAAAATGTAAAAAAAAAAAAGATCCTATTTGTTAGGAACCAAAACGCTACCAAATTCACAGCATAACTAACTCTTAAAAATTCATATTTAAATAGTACTAAATGTGAATAAGAAAGATCAGGAACATGACTAAATTAAAAACAAGTGTGAGAGCATCACTTAAGCATGAAAATGAAGTAAAAAATATAGAAACACTAATGATAACAAGCATGTGTTTAAAATACTACACAATGTTTACTAATCATTAAAATGTTTAAAAAACATTGATATTTAAAAGTCTACTCATTATTTATTTAGACACCAAATGTGAATTTTTTAATGTTGAAATCTATGCTATAAAAATGTTTAAAATTCTATGAAAGGTTTAACATTTTTTTTTTGTTAGTTTTTTCAAGAAGGCTAAAAACAAGACTACATTTTCAAATGAAAGTTCTAAAACATGACTAAAATTTGAAAATGCAAAAAAAAAAAAAAAAAAAATTACCAACGTTACGAACACTGCAAAATTGTTATTTAAATCTCGGAGCGGGGCACAAATGTCGGACCTCTTTAAATTTGCACAAATGGGCCAAAATTGGACATTCCAAAAAATTCATAGCTCACTTAGTCTTCATCTTAGGATATGGCTGCCATCAACTTTTTGGGTGGTACACGTGCAACTCAATTGGCTTTGGTCTTGGTCAAACAAAACGGGATTTGATTTAGTTTTTCCACTTGGGGGCGCATGGGACTGATTTTTTCTTTTTGTAATTGTGCATGACAATTTTAATATTATCAACATTTTCTTGGCAGGAGGACTCCAGCGCCATTGGCCTCCAGGCCCACAGGCGGCGCTCCCTCCGGGGAGACGCAGGAAAACTGCGGATCCCGGAAGCGCAGTATTCCGACAGTGGTTTGTACACGTGCCGGCTGAGCGTTCTGGTCGACCGCAGCGAGTTCCCGCTCACTCGTACCTTCCGACTCCTCGTCAAAGGTGCCTTTAACGTGGCTCGGCTAACGTGACAAAAACAACTTGCGGGGTTTTCTTCAAAAATCAAATCCAGAGAAAAATTGTAATAAATAAATAAGTCTCGTCGTTCAGTGGAGCACATCCTCAGTCTCCCAGTTAAAAAGAAAAGCATTGATCTAAAACAGAAAATAATTATTGTTTTAAGGGGGGAGGAACTAATAAATTGGAGATTTTTTTTACTTTGTTGGAAAACAACAAAAAGAAAAGAAATTGGGGCATGCATTTCCACATTCTGTTGATTTTATGTATTTGAATGTTTACTTTGTTTAATTAGCAAAAGCATATGTATGATGTAACAATTTTCAAAACATTTTTTCCTATTTACTCAAAATACCCCCAGATATATTTTTAATAATTTGTGAAAAAAATTGCACCTTTCGTTCAAATGACACAAAAATTCCTATTATAAATGCATGCTTTGTCAATCTTTCAGAGCCCGAGTTACCCACGGCGCTAACACCACCGCCACCGTTGATCATCACGCCGTTGAACGGAAGCGTCCACGAGGCCTCACACGGTGAGTCATTGACTTTGTCCAGAAGATCATCAACGTTGAATTAAGAAAAACAAATCTTCCAAAAAGTCCAAACATTTTCACAAGCGAGCCTTACTACAAATAAAATAACGTAAAAGACTAAAAAAGTTATGTTTCTTCTCCATAAAAACACTCGAGTAAAAGTGAAAACTACTCTGACAAGTATCCAAAAAGTTACTTCAGTTGTAACAGAGTAAATGTAGCGTGTCACCAGAACGGCTTTTCATGAGTTGTTGACTGTTGAACATTGGAGGTTCGGAACTGGAGGTCAAGTGCACGGCGCTGACGGCGTGCGAGTCCGAGCGCCAGATGGCCGTGTGGTGGTCGGCGGACGGCGTTCAGGTGGACGCATCGCGCCTGAACGGACGAGTGTTACAGGGCGTGAGGAGGTAAGGCGCTCGTTTCCTCACCTCAGCCGTTTCTCGGCAAACGGGCTTTTTGTCACCAAACGGCCGTCGCCGTCCATGCAGGGAAAGCCGGGTGGAGTCGGGTTGCCTGGTGGAGGTCAGCCTGCTGGTCGCGGCGATGACGGAACAAGAGGAAGGGGCGGAGCTAACCTGCGTGGCTCAAAATCAGGACGGGAGACGGGAAGTGACAATCACGCTCCACGTGGAGGGTGAGTCGCGTGACACATGAAAATCTACGCTAACCAGTAGGGCTTCAAATTAGCCCGGGTTTGACTTTAGGGTTTCAAGCAAATCGTAGGTTTTCAAACAGAATGTTATGGCTCCAAAGTTCGGGTGAAGGTTTCAAAAAATATGTTGAAGTAAGGGTTTCAAACTGGTGATGGGGTTCAAGAATATGGTTCCGAGACGGGGTTATGTTTTCAAAGTAGGGTTTTAACTTTGGTTTAGGTTTTCAATAGGATTTTAAGAAAGGCTTAGAATTTCAAAAATTAGGGTTCTAAGTATGGGCTAAGGTTTCAAAGAAGGGGGTTAAGGTGTTATATTAGATTTCAAGTTAGGGATTTTAAGTATGGTTTCAAGTCAGTGTTATGGTTTCAAAGCCAGGTTAGGGTCACAAATTAAGGTTTCTAGTCAGAGTTCGAATTTTAAGCATGGGTTAGGTATTCAAAGGAAGGTTTCAAGCCAGGTTTGTGCTTTAAAATAAGGGTAGAGGAGTTCAAATTGTGGTTCAAATCAGGGTCAGGTTTTCAAGTTGCAGTTTGAAAGTAAGGTTTGAAATGAGAGTCATTTTCCAACAAAGGAATAAGGTGTGAACTAAGAAGGTTTGTCCCCTTCGAAGCAGACTCGAGCATGACGTGGCTTGTGGTGGCCTGTGTGTCCACTTCCTGTTTCCTGGCGGTGCTCTCTGTCTTCCTCTACGTTTTGCTCATCAAGCCCAAACTCAAGAAGAAGACGAAGAAGAACGCCAATTACTTCCTGGCGCGCCAGGACAGCGCCTTCTAGTGGACGATGCACTTCTTGCTTTGGCCAGCAGATAGCAGCAGCACCCACGACTCTGTCGTGTCACGCAAACTGCCAGACTTGAACAGTTGTCTCTCTCTCTCACACACGCACACACGCACACACGTACACACACACGCTCACACACGCACACGCTCGCACACACGCTCACACATGATTTCAGGCTAAATAAAACTTGTACACCAACAGATGCAGTCAGACTGATTTGTCATGATGATTACGTTGAAAGCATGGAAATGCCAATTAAAACCTGTGTTGTGGATGTGCACAATGGAAAAAAAAAATCATTTCACCTTTAAAAAAACTACGTGAAAGCAAGAAAAAAAATTAAGTCAGCAATAAATAAATACGTTAATTATATTTAATAAATAAATACAAATTTTAAATAATTGAATTCAGATCCCAAAATGTAAAAATACTGTACATGAAATAATTTAACAATATGAAAATATATGAAATATATATGAAATGGAATCAAAAAAAACTTCAAATACCAGCAAAAAAAAACAAAAAATCGAAATAACATAAAATCTGCAAAATGTAAATAAAAAAGTACTGTACATAAGCCAAAAGAGAAAAAATACAGTGAACCAACAACAACAAAAAATGTAAATTTTTATAAAAGCTACATCAAATTAGCAGTATGCACATGAAATGATGAAAAAGTAATTTTAAAAAATCACCACCCAGAATTTCAGGAAATCAGCAAAAACAAAGGCTGTATAAAAATTAGCAATATGGACATGTATCAAAAAAATAAGGAATATTTAAAAAATAAAATAAAATCTGCCCCCAAAAAAAGAAATCCCCATGCAAAATGTCAGGAAATCAGCAAAAAAGTAACAAAATCGATCAGTTGAACAAAAATAGAACTACAGTACATTTGCCACCAGATACCGCCACAGGAAGACGCCCCTAAAAAGTGAAGCAGCTCTGTGGAATGTAAACACATGCCAGGGCTTGTGCGTGTGTGTGTGTGTGTGTGTGTGTGTGTGTGTGTGTGTGTGTGTGTGTGTGTGTGTGTGTGTGTGCGTGCGCCTCCCAGAAGCGATTGCTCAACTCCCAAGAAGTTACAACATGTGTCTTTGCTCAGATGACGAAGCGGCTGGCGACGAAGAAGACACACGTTCGATTCCTCAGACCACCAGATGAATGTCATAAGAAGGCTGTCATGTGACCACCACCAAGTCATCATCACCGCCACACAGGTGAGTTTTAATCCGGCCTGAATATTCAACCTCCTCCTGGGTTGCCATCAAGGTCACCCCAGGAAGTTGGGGCGCTAGCGCACATTGTCAGGGCTTTTTTTTTTTTAAGATATAATGAACGTTTTTAGAGAATCAATGACAGGGTTTCAAAATAGTAAGTGTCAATGAATTCTGTTGTTGAATTTCGGTATTTAAAAAATATATATTTATTGCAGAGAATCCCTCTATTGTCAACATACAATTTTGCTTGGAAAATAGTACACACACCCGGAAAGGTGCGGCCTTGTTTTGTGGCTTTTCAAATTGGGTCTCTACCAATCTCAATGGTGACAACATGAGAATTCAAATGTAAGTTTCACATGAAAAAGAATGACTTTTATTGGCAGAGGCTCAATTTCTGTGATTTACTTGGGAACTCAGGGAGAAAAAAATCATTTCAAAATAAAAGTCTCAAGCCGTTGCCTGGAATCAGCATACCAAGAATTGTTTTGGAAAACGTAGTCCACACACGCCCATGGGTGTCACTCAAAAAGTGTCCTGGGACTGTAGTGCTGTTTTTCAAAAAAATTCAACTTGAAATCTAGAAATCTAAGAGTGGATGAATATAGGTTCTAAATTTGCACTTACAAATCAGGTTACCGGTACCTTTTATCGATGACTGTCTCAATGTCTGTCACATAGCAGTGAACCCAAGCAGGTTCTAATGAGATAAGGAACTTCAAAATAAAACGCACTCCAGGAAGTGCTTCTGCATTTGCACGTGGATTTTCCAAATAAAATGTAACCATGTATTTGGTGACAAGTGTTACCTCTGATGAAACACAAATGAAAATTTGAGAAAAAGCATGGCTTTTATTGGCAAATGTTCACACCAGGAGTAGAAAAAAAAAACGACGTGATGTGGAGTATAAAATTGTAATTTCTGTTGACAGATCTTAATTTTAATTATTAATTTTAAGTAAAAAAAAAAAGTGACCTTGATTGGAGGATGTTCACATGTGAAGTAGTACTAAGGTTGAATTTCAAAAGCCAAAAGCCACAACTCTAATTGTTGCCAAATGTTGGTTGAAATTTGAAATGTGCATGAAAAAGAATGACTTTCACTGGTGAGTGTTCACACAGGAAGTCGTACTCATAGGTGTCGGATGTGATGTTTCAAAAAAGTCTCACCGAAGACTACTTGTTGACAAATGTTGCCTTCAATTGAAAGATGACACAAAAAAATCAATGCTTTTGTCATGATGACTATTCAAACAAGTTGTATGCGTAGTAGTGGGAAGTTGAATGACAAAATAAAAGCCAACCTAACTGTAAATGTCGAGAACTGTCGGTTGTGAGTTCCCACTCTGGGCGTGCTCATGCGGCTGGCTCAGCTTCTTTTCTTGCTGCACGGCTTGAGGGGAAAGATGAAAAACAGGCGAGACCTCAGCGTGGGTGTAATTAAAATTAATGACGATAATTGCAGAAACTGAAGAACTAATGAGCGAACGAGAGGCAAGACTGACTGAGAACAGACCAGATAGGTAAAATAATCTAAATCTTTCAAAAGGGGTCAACGAGCAAGCTACTTAGCTAATGAACTAACTAAACAAACTACCCAACTAACTCAGTCACCCATTAAACTAACTAGTGATCGAACAAATGAAAACAGCCAACTCCCGAGCTAAACGGCAAATTAATTAGCTGATTCACCAACTCTATACTCACTAATGTATAAACCTCACACACTTCTTAACGTGACCAACTAACCAATTCACTTTCAGCCAACTAGCAAACTCATAACTACTCAAAAAAAGGAAAGAAAAAACCTAAACATCCAACTTAGTCAGTCACACATTAATGTAACTAGCTAATGAACAAACAAACCAAACAGCTAACTGACTAGATAAATAATGAGCTAACTAAGTGGCAAATAAACAAACCAACTACAAACCAAGTGTCTATCCTACACAAATTTATGGAGCTGACCGACTGTGTGATGAATTAATCAACTAAGTGTCAAACTTACTGACTGACAAAGCACTAGTAACTAGTTAACTCACTAACTCATGTGCAGTAAACATCCAAACTAACCAACAAATGAACGGGCGCACTTTCTCACACGCACACAGGCTGCTAAACTGGCCTGCTTCCATGTGGTTACACAGTAGCCTTGCGTCATATTTTTTGGGGGGGGGTTATGGCATTAAATCGTGAGCTTCCCGAGCAATTGCTCATGCGGGAGGCGACAGAGAAGGAAGGCACACCTTGTCCTCCGGCCTACCGCTGTTTACCATCCTCACACGACAGCTGTCGATCCTTCACGTATGTATGTTGTATGTGTGTTTCAGTCATGTGCGTCCGTGTGCGGACCCTCCTGCTGTTGGTGGTGGTGCAAAGCGTCGACTGGACTCATGCAGCTCAGGGTGAGTAGCGGTGCTGGGACTCTGGCCGGGGGGCTGACTAGTGGTGGTGGGTCACGCTGGCTGGACACTGGGAAAATCCTGAATGGGTCAAGGTGAACCACATGTTTACTCATTCAACTTTCATGCTTGTGTTGTAATATCCTGGAAACGTTGGAGCAATACTATTGATTTTTAAACAGGCACGTCTCAGTGAAAAGTAGTGAGAAAAAGTGGTCATTTGGTGTGGTGGGATCGAGGCAAGTGTGGAAAAATACTTTTGAGTTCTTGGGAATTAGGTCATATTCACTTGGCTAAAATCCCATCAAAATGTCTCATGAGGTTGGATGGCCAGCAAAGACCAGGAGCTAGCTAGCTAGCTAACTTATGAAATAAGTGACTAACTCAAGCTTGATTTGATGAAGAAACAGACTAAATCTCTTCGAAATAAACTGACAAGCTAACTCAACGATGAAAGATCCAACAAACAAATTAACTTACAAATGCGCAAACTCACTAGCTCACCGGCCAACAAACTAGCGGTCAAACTAACCCACTAACAAACCAAGCGAGCTCACTAACTTGCTGAAAAATGAAATGCGAAATACAAACACGAATGAACTAACTTGCTGACAACCAATGTTACAAACCAACTAAAGTACTAACACGCTGCCTAACGAGCAAACAAACCAACTAACTGACAAAGAAGAACCATTTATTGCTTTCTCACTTGCTCACAAAATTACAACAAAAAATGTTTGTAATAAGCGACTAAAAAAAAAAAGATGAATCAAATCACTGAAAAACAATCCAACTAACTAACGGACAGATGAACGAATGAACGAACGAGCTAAATAGCTAACTAAGTAACTTTTTTCCCTTTTTTTTTTCAGATGAGTGCAAAGACTACGAGGTTCAGTTTGAGCGCGTGTTTTCAGTGCCGGGCGATGCGGCCATGATCAACTGCACGCTGGCATCTCCCGACGTCTTCAACTTGTCGGCAGCCTCTTACGAGGTGAACTGGTACCACGTGGAGACTGGACGAGCGCTCCGAAACGTCAGCCGCCGCGTCCTCATCCGAGGGCAGACCCTGTGGTTACTCAACGTCACCATGCGCCACGACGGACATTACCAGTGTGTGCTCAGGTAACGCCTCGCCATCCAAGTAGTAGACGCGAAACTCACGCAATTTAGTCTATTGTAGTTGTAGTCTCATCGTAGTTCGTTGTTTGAAATGAATAGTAAACTGAACTGAATTCATTTTTGAATTGGATTTTATAAATAACGTGAAATTGAAGAATGTGAATAAAGGCGACTTTGTGAATGATTTGAATTACTTATGTGAAAAAAAAATTTGAATGTGAAACAAGGAAGACATGTAAAAGGATTACATTCAGTGTAATTAATTCACTGAATTAGTGGAATAAATGAGTGTGATAAGTTCCTATTAAAAAGGTCCAATACAATTAATTTAATTATTTTAAATGTTATACAGTTTCAATTTCAGAAAACAGAATTAGGCTCATATTTAATTCATCGGTATTTATTTTCATGAAACCGAGTGAACTGTATTTACATTTAATTTCCTTTGAATTTATGAATTGAATATATAACTTAAATACATTGCTTTTGGTTTGTTTTAAAAGATGAATAGATGAACCCTTTTGCATTTCAAATAATTTGAATGAAGTTATTAATTCAAATTGAATGAATCAGTGTTCTCTTCTGACATGTGAGGCCACGCCTTTTTTGCCACTCGTAAGCCCCGCCTCTTCCCTGCCATTTTTGCTTGCTGATTGGTCCGCTCCCTCTTCCAGGACCAGCACGTCAGGTTGCTTCAAGCAGTCCACCAGGTTGGTGGTGGAGCGCCCGCTGCGAGGCGAGTGCGGTCGACCGCGCAAAGCCTTTCAGGTCCTCACAGTCGGCGTGACCGACACGCTGTCCTGTCCAATCAAAGAGGTCTTCAAAACGCTTCGAAGCTACGGCGTCCGCGCCTCCGTCACATGGTACAGAGTGAGTCACGCCTTTGTCCGGTTGGAAACCACAACATATTTTCGCACCAAAGTAATTCTCGAACAAATTACCTAATCATCCAAGAGGTAAAGTAACTCACAAACTAATGGGTCGTCGAACAAATTTAGAGAGGACTGACAGACTGACTTATTTACTGACAGACGGGAAATGAACTACATAATGAATGAGTGAACAGTCAAAAGCAAAAACGAAGGACAACCGAACGAACGACCTTTTTTACCAAATTGCTTTTTACCAATTTGACCGTTCTTCCACTTTTAGCCTGGCAGGCACTTGTAAACATTGTCCTATTGTTATGTCCACCTGTCATCATGCATTATCAGGGCTGCGACGTGATTGAGGACGGCTTTGAGGGACACGTGTACCGCAACCGAGCGCGGCTGAAAATTAAAAACGTGGACAGCCGCAACAACCAGCCGTACACGTGCACCCTCAACTTCAACCTGGGGGGTGTGGCGGCGTCCATATCGGAGTCCATCCAGGCTTGGGTGCAAGGTAGGCAACCTTCACGCTGTCCCTAGCGGACAACAGAGATCGTTCATTTTGGCAGCGAATGGGGATTTCGAAATTGTCAACGGTGTTTGTTTGTTGTTACAGAGGATTACTGCTTCTTGCCCCAAGTGCTGCAGCCAGCCAATGATATCCTCAAAGGAGCCCCTGGTAAGAGGTCAAGTGTTAGAAATGTCAAAACACATTAGCTGCTAACATGTAACACGGCTCACTATTTGTTTTCAGGATCTCGTTTGACACGAACATGTCGAGTGTTTGTGCCGTGCATCGGCACCGTTCCCGACGACGCGATGGTGGACGTTTTTTGGTTGGATGACGTTGACTTCATTTCCACCAACAACTCAGAGAGGATCTTTGCATCAGAACCACGGTACCTATATATATATATATATATATATATATATATAAAATCAATAATAAATAATCCAAAATGCTGACATGGCTCTGTTTTCTGGGAAGCTTCCATGAGTAATGGGTTCCGACTATCTCTTGTCTGCCATTGTTGTTTCAACTTCCTATGTTCCAGCGTGTGGCGTGCGAGCGTCCCACCGAAAGGTGTGTGGATGGAGAGCGTGCTGACCATTTCCTCCCTGGAGGAGGCCGACTTCCTGATCAACTACACGTGTCGAGCATACAGCGCGCGAGGAATTCCTCAGGCTCACTTTTCCGTTCTGCCTCAAGGTAAATCTACAAATCGTCTGACGTCCGCCATCTTGTCTCATTGCCTTGACTTCCTGTGTGTTACAGAGCAAGGTGTCCAGGTTGCCGTCGGCGTTGTGCTCGGTGGCGTGGCGGCGCTCGCGGTGATTGCCGTGGTGGTGTACTTCCATTTCAAGATTGACGTGGTGCTGTTCTTCCGCAGCTCCTTTGCCGTCTTTTATGCAAACGAGGGTAATAACAAGCATGCTAAGTGACGTATTTATTGTCAGCACGCTAATTGATACTAGCGTGTGCAGTGACACAACTTTTCAATTTGAACACACAGTGATGCAGCTAAGACGCGTGCGATACATGATGTACTGTAGCAGCTAACACAAGCATTCTCAGTGATATTGTTACAATAGCATGGCTAACGCAATCAGGCGCATAAATGTGAATGACATGAGCACGCCAGTTGGTGTGTTTTCAATGCTAGCATGCTAATTGGATGAGGCTAACACTTGTCTGCTAAGTGGCGCTTTAACACTTGTGCGCAAACGGGATGTTTATCATGCTAGCACACTCAGAAATGCCACTCATCCTAATTAACGTGCCTAACGTTATTGAGCTAAGTGATGTAGTTAACACTAGCATGCTCAGTGATGCGGCTAACGCACGTATTACGTGATATACTGTAGCAGCTCATGCAAGCATGCTCAGTGGTATAGTTGCAATAAATCCAGAAACCCCAATCAGACTGAGAAATGTGACAAACGCAATCATTCTAAGTCATCCAGCCGAGGGTTAGGCGACTGTAAACATTTGTTCTATTGTCATTATCGTCAGAGAACGACGGGAAGCGGTTTGACGCATATGTGACGTCCTACTACCCGCTGGGCTGCCAGTTGGATGTTAGCCACCGAGTGCTAACGTTTGCAATGGAGATTCTGCCACAAGTGTTGGAAAAAGCTTGCGGCTACAAACTCTTCATAGCTGGACGAGACTGTCTGCCGGGACAAGGTAATTGAATTGGTTTGTCAATGGGTTGGTTTGGTTGTTAGCGAGGGAGTCCGAATGTTTGTTCATTCCCGCCGCAGCCATGGTCGACACCGTGCACGAAAACATGCTGGCCAGCCGCAGACTCCTGCTGCTCTACGGCGCCTCGTCCTTCACCTGCACGCACAGCCGCCACCACCTCAACAACCGACACACCAACAACAACAACCTGGGCGAGGACGTCTGTTTGGACACGCGCCGTCAATACGAATGGACGGTGGCCATGCATCAAGCACTCGTGGAGGGCACCCTCAAGGTCAGTGAGCCGGCGATTGAAGGACTAAGTTGCTGCAGTTAGTTAGTTAGTGATTCCGTCGGTGAGTTAAGAACAGTTATTTTCTTCAAGAAGTGACTTAGTGCATGATTGAGTCGTGAATGCGTTAACGAGTGAGTGAGTGAGTGAGTGAGTCTAAATTGGTTAATGAGTGAATGAATAACTTGTTTAGTTATTGACTGGGTGAGGGACTTAGTAAAAGTAAAGTAGCGGCTGATTATCAGTGATTGGGTGTAAAAGAGCATTTTAGGTGATGAGTGACTGGCTGAGTATTAAAGAAGGGAGTGAGTTAATAAGTTAGTAATTGAGTTAATGAATGAATGCGAATCAGTGAGTGAGGCAAAGTGCGTCAGTGATTAAGTATTGGTGAATGAGTGAGTGAATTACTTATTGACTGATTGAGATAGTAAAACTGCTAGTTAATGACTGAATGAGTAAACTGATTACTTATTGACTGAGAGAGAATGATTAAGCATGAGTGAGTCTTGTGTTGTTTTATTTTTTGGCAGGTGGTGCTGGTGGAGCTGGAGGAAGTGAGCGCAGCCCAGCTGGCTCTCTTCCCAGAGTCGCTGCGTCACCTACGGAGGAAACAGGGCGCCGTGTGCTGGTGGAAGAACAACAAGCACCACCATCAGCACCAGGGGCTGAACCGGAAGAGCTGGATCAACTGCACCGGGAAGTCCTCGCCATCCAGGACCGCCACACGGGAGCAAGAGGAAGCGCACTCGTCACGCTGCCTGTCGCCGTCGTCCAAGTTCTGGAAGGAGATCCTCTATCACATGCCGGTGAAGGGCAAGAGGGCAGCGCCCCCCCAAAAGACCACTCTCTTGTAGGTTTAGCTCCTCACCCACAAAACAGATGCTTTTTGCTCGGGAAAGATCAGCAGAATCATGGCAGGTGGCTGGAATCGGTTCCTCTCGGTTAACCCGTTCGCTCATGAGCCTGAGTGCACCAGCATGAACAGACGACTGACTGGAGCAAAACTGTTTGCAAGTACCACAGTGCCCCCTAGTGGGAAATTAATTCATCGTTGTCCCATGTATATAATAAAACTCAAGTTAAACATAAATAAGTAATTCTCTGAAGAGGCCTTTTTTCTGCTATTGAATTTTGATTTGTCGCATTTTGAACATAAAATCTTGTGCTGTATGTTACACATACGTACAGCACATTTGACAATAAAGTTGTAGTCAATTCAATGAGATGTTTGACTGCAATTTTGAAGGTCATCTAAAGGCATTTCTTATTTTATCCATCCAGTATTATTTATCATTTATTTTGGATTTACCAAGAGCATTATCCAACCCCCGTCCTCACACACACACACACACACACACACACACACACACACACACACACACATACACACACACACACACACACACACATTCATTGATGGTGCTCGGTGGCCACATCTTTCGGTAAACCCTCTAACATAACTGACTGTGTACGTGTGTGTATGTGTGTGTGTGTGTGTGTGTGTTTTGACTTCGCAGCAGGTAAAAAACAGGAAATACTTTTTTTTTTTTCTTTTACAGGTAACATACAAACGAAACCCAACTGAGGTTTAGTGGCCCATTTTTGCGGTGTGTGTTTTTTCTTGTTTCTTTGATGAGGGTGGAAGCTCCGTTGAAGGAAAACCCAGTGTGTCATGAGTACCGGTATGTGAAAACAGGATGTGCAGGTAAGCGGCAAGCAGAAGTCGCAGCAACGTCTTACTGGTAAGTTCACGTGTAAATCATACAGCAACTCGAGTCCATTCAGTCGCTTCGGCAGCAGCGAATAAGAAGCCGTATCAGATGTGAGTATGAACCAAAGGCAGCGAGAATAGTCAGCAGCATTTTAGGAAGCAAAGGCAGACACGTTTAACCTACAATATATGTACTGAAGCTCTCCTTCAATAGATTGTTGCCTGTCCTGGGATTTGGAGAGTGCGTGTGTGTGTGTGTGTGTGTGTTTCGCCTTCCGACTTGTTGCGACAACACTTCTCACTTCCCTCAGTGTGCGGAAAGCAGCGATGGCTTGGCTGTGCGCGTTCGCCATATTGCTCGCTGCGGCCAGCACGCTCGGTGAGTACGCTGACATTTGGCCAGATTCACGTCATCCATTTTAAAAAAATCTTTATGATGTAACTCATCACGGTGATGTCGGATTTGGATGCGGTGCCTTCTGAGGGGTCGAAGGTCACGGCGCAGTTCAATGTTGGTTTTTGGCCTCGCCGCTTGCATGCAGTCATTTCTCCAGATTCGCTGAACCTTTTGATGACACGATGGAGCGTCAATAGAGAAATTCCTGAATTCCTTGCAACAGTACGTTGAGGAAAGTTGTCCTTAAATTGTTTGACTTGAGGTGAACCTCGCCTCATCTTTGCGTGTGAATGACAACGATTCGGGGAAGCTCCTTTTATGCTCTGTTCATCTGCGGGATGTTCCAAACAGGTGTTTGATTTATGATTGGCTGGGAGAAATCACATTGGTCATTACAGTGAGCTTGACTACATAGCTACTGGGAATGTATCATCACAAATAGGAGGCTGAGCACCAACAAATGAAGCCTTACACTCCTTGGCAGAGGTAATCAGGTCAAATATTTTCAGTAAGCGTCCTTTTTTTTATTTTTTAGGTCAGTGTGTCGTCTAAATTAGGTCAAGTGAGGTCCATCTTGTTTGAGCCTCCAGCAAGAAAATTAAGTTTATGGGGTCATTTGTTTGCAAAATTCAGATTTTCAAAATTGATGAGTTTACAAAAGTAAACAATTGTTTGCAAAATTACCAACAAATTTAGATTGAAGTATAAAATAGGCATTAACAGAATACTAATGTACAAAAATGGAAACAAACAAAAAAAAACTTATTCAAGAGCAAACTACGATTTTACAAACATAACTACTGATTCATTACATTTGAAATTTTGTTAATTTGTTCATTTCTATCATATTTTCCAAATTTATTGTACATATTGAAAATTTTGTTTCACATTTTCAAATATTTTCTTTATGCTGATGAACAGGTTTCACATTAGATTTTTTCCCCATAATTTTGATTCACATTGAATTTTTTTATCCACATTTTAAAATTATTTTCATGTTATTAATTTTAAACGTTTGTTTTGCAGTTTAAAATTAAGTTTCCCATCGTTTTAAACGTGTTTTACATTTGGCGATTATTTTCAAATTTGTTTTCAGAAAATAGCAGCTTGAAACAACTTGTTTATTTTTTTCAACATTTTTATAATTTTACTTTTCAAAAAAAGTTTTTTTACATTTTCTTAATTTTTTTTAAAATTCAGATTTGTGAATGTTACTTTTTTCCTTTGGTTCACACTTTTTACCCAATCCAAAACAACACAAAATAATATACAGCATGATAGTTCATTTGTAGTTTTTGAAGTCATACAGTAAACTCGAGCGTATGTCTGTGCTTCCTTTGCAGGCCACAAGGGGCCGCCAGACACCTACCATGTCAGTGTGGGCCACCTCCTGCTGCTCAAGTGTCCCAACGTGGGCGAAACGGGCAACGTCACGTGGACCCGAAAGGAGGCGTCGGCGGGTCCGGTGCCGTCATTACCCCCTGGCGTGGAAGTCAGGGACGGGTTTCTGTACTTCCTGCCCGCGCAGATGTCCCATAATGGCTCCTACAGCTGCCAGAGAACGTATGGAAACACACCGAGTGTCCCGATACGTGATAGAGTCTCGATTTAAATATTTGTGTGCTGTGAAGGGTGCAAAACAAAACTTTCACGATTGACTTTGGCGTGTTGGTGTCCCCTGGACAATGTCCCCCCGTGGCCGAAGAAAGGAGCATCCCTCTGGGGGTCACCCAGAGCCTCCCCTGCAAGCTGGACCACGTCCTACGACGTAACGATACGACTAATATACGATGGCTGAAGGTACGGTGCTTCACTAGGCTCAAACAGTCTCGAATTGTTTAGGGTAACTCAAAGGATGGGTGTAAGACGTTTTGGTAAGTCGACTAACAATAGACTGCTGAGTCACCCCCCCAAAAAAATCAAAGGATGGGTGTAACATACAACAAATGGTGGCTTCAAACCAAAATGGCAGACTTCCTATGCATCTGCAGGAATGGCTTTTTGAGACTTTTTTTTTTTTTTTTTGCAAGTCTAATCCAGATAGACATGCCTACCAAATTTCGTATAGTTCAGTAAAACTAGCTTGGTCAAGTTTAGCCACTGTGCATGCATGCAGGACTGCCGCTTGGTAGAGCGAGAGGGCGCGGTTATCAGCAGGCAGGACAGCGGCCTGAGGCTGAGTAGAGCCACGCAGGAGGACGCCGGCACTTACACTTGCCTTGTGGACATCAGCCTTGACAGCAGAATGTACACATCGGCACGCAGTGTCCAACTCCACATCGACAAAGGTGGGCACCAATTTGTACTGTAATTGAACTACCGGGACATGAGTCAACCTCGTAGCTTTTTTTCAATTTCTTTTGGGTTTAGCATTGGCACAGACAGTTCTTATCGAGCCAGAGGTGGTCCAGCAACAGGATCAAGTACTCACCGTGGACATGGGTGAGTTCAGCAATGACACACGTGCACACACGGACATGCCAAAGATTGTTTGTGCTGTGATTGTCACTGACCAAAACGGGCTGCCTCATCTCATGTCATCAGTTGTGTGGATCAAGTAGCACGGGACTCACTCACTACAATACCAACAATGTTGCAGACCAAATGTCAAAAAAAGTAAAAGTAGTTAAGAATACTAACTAACTCACTGACTATGTAACTAACAAATAACTGGCAAAACAGTAAACAACTCAACTTTCAATACGATGCAGCTCTTCAAGAAAAAAAAAATGTTGGGCAGTCCTAACAACCATCACTCGGTAATACATTGTCAAGCAACAAATAATTGAACTAACAGTTCATAATACGACTTAAATAACTAATTAACTGTGTCCAGTACTACATAGCTGACCAAGAAAATCGAGGTTTTTGTTCATGCTAACTAGTAAAGAAAGAGACGTTGATGACGTGCTAGGTGCGCGTGTGGAGTTGAAGTGCCTGGCCTTGGTGGGCTACAGCCAGAATAAGGAGACGTCGATGTTCTGGATTGTGAACGGCAGCTTTGCAGACGAAGACCCGGAGCTCAATGAGTCCTTCCACTTGTGAGTATGTCACTCTTCACGATTAAATCCGTGCGCATACACAAAACGCCCACACGGTGCTCTTTTCCCCTTAGCACTTCAAACCAAGGCCACGTGTTTGGCGAGTCCACCCTGACCATTTTGAGAGTTCTTCCTCGTTTCCTCAACGTGTCCATTCACTGTCGGATCCAGAGCCCTCTAGTGGTGAAAGACTGTCTTGTGGTGCAGCTTGTGGAAGGTAATGCAATAAGAAAAAAAAAAACACACACAAAAATTGCCTGGTAAGAAGAAATATCTTGCCAGACAAAGAACATATTTAGCCTGGATTTGATTTATCCAATCTCGGTTAGAGTTTTGGCAGAGTACTTCTTAAGCATACGCCATACCTCCAAATATGTCCTACTTCCTATTTCTGTCCCTCTTACAGCCAATCACAGCTGGTTCTACACTGGTGTGGCAGTGGGCGTGGCCTCTTCACTGCTTCTTCTGATCTTCCTGTTGGTCTTTTTCAAGGTGGATGTAGTGTTGACGTACAGGAAGCTGCATGGATATTTTGTCAGTCCACAAGGTGACACATGGAGAAATCATAGTTAATTAGCTAGTTAGTTAGTTAGTCTTATCATGGCTGGCTGGTGCACGACTGGACGAGATATACAATATGTCGATCATTAAACTGTAACAGCACTACAGCTTCATGGTCATGTCACTGGGCGCGCTAACTGAAGAATACAATGTGTAGCTAACCGACTCAATTTGTTTAACCAAAGTAAACTAACAAGCTGTCTGTACTGTGTAGATAACCAAAGAAAAAACAAACAGAAGCCAATGCTAACTATTTAAAATGAATCTCAACAATATAAATGGACCACAATAAATTAATTACAATCAGTAATACTCCAAGCCTAACCGGATCGATGACTGAGTAAATGCCAATGGCACACCGCCATCTGCCGTGTGTTCAGATGCCGACTGGCTCCCGTACGACGCCTTGGTGAGCGTGGTTCCCACTGCAGGCTCTGAGACGACGTCATGCGTGGCTTCTGATTTCGCCCTGCAGATACTGCCAGGCCGGCTGGAGGAACGACATGGCTACCGTCTCTTCATCTCAGGCCGAGATGACAGCCCGGGAGAAGGTAGTCACTCGAACAAACTAAATCATTTAACAGGCTGTCATTCACCCTTTCAGGGACTAACTAGTAATTGACCAACTAGCAAACTAAAGAACTGAGTGGTGTAAGTGATAGCTAACTAGCTCGCTGAGTAACTTTAGGGGGATAGCAAGATAATTAGCCCACCAATGAATGAGTAGTTGATAATGACAACAGTCACAAATACGAATGACAGTTAATCCGACATAGCTAGCCAACTCTCTATGGAAAGTCAGTAATAGGTAACTATCTAGCTAGCTAACTGTCAGTGATATGGGGCAAACCAACCAATAATATGTCGCTAACCAGCCAACTGTGCTTGACATGGCAGCAACACACGATGCCATGGCGGCCACCATGCGACAATGCCGCCGGCTGATCATCATAGTGGCGTCGGCGAAGGAGATGGACAAGGAGTTGGAGGAGAAGAAAAAAGAGGAGGAGGAGGTGGAGAAGAAGGAGGCAAAGGAATGGCAGCCCTTCAGACTCGAGGACCGACAGCTGAGCTACGAGCAGAAGCTCGGCCTGCATGACGCTTTGATGCACAACGCGCCCACAGTTATCCTGCTGGAAATAGGTGACTAACTAACTCAAAGTCAAGACAACATCTCTAACTAGCTAGCTAGCTAGTTAGAGATGTAGTTAGAGCTAGCTAGCTAACTACAATAACTAAATAACTTGACATTGAATGAATTGTGTAGTGTTATCGTGCAGGGTAGCGTACTGGGCAACCCGTTTTTTGTTTGTTTGTTTTTTTTAATTACAAATCGCTAAGCTGCATTTCCTGTCCTAGACGGTCCGCCGGATTACAGCCGCCTGCCGCAGTCTCTTGCCTACCTCAAGAGGAGGCAGGGAGCGCTCACGTGGAGAAAAAATAGAGCGAACAGGTTCTTCTGGAAGAAGCTCAGGTTCCTCATGCCCGCCGTGCCAGCCAGCAGACAATCAAGACCACGTCAAAATCACATTTTGTGAACGAAATGCAACGACCGCATTCGGAATCATTCACTCATTCCTGACTGCCTAATTACTCCATACAGAGCCACCCACCTTTGAAACTCACGAGTTATTAAAAGCCTACTTTTAAAGACTTCAAACCTTACTTTCAAACCTGAACTCTTGTTTGAGCCCTACTTGGAAACCCCAAACCTTGTCTAATAGTTTAAAAGTGCATCTTTGACAAGTACGTAAAGTCTAAAAAAGATGAAAAGGATTTGGCTGTGCATGCATGCTGTCCCCGTATGACCTCTACTCCGACTCACCCCGGATTTGTGTGTGCATTTGTGTAAGTGGATGTGTGTGTGTGTGTGTGTGTGTGTGTGTGTGAGAGACGGTGGCACGCTCCCATTGAAAGGGTGGGGGTGGGGTGTGTGCTCTGTATATTTAGCGCGGCAGCTGGGATCTGCTCCTTGCTTTTGTTCCAGTTTGACCTTCGTGACCCGGCACTCGCTCTGCGTGAGGGTACACACACACACACACACACACACACACACACACACACACACACATTTACATATATGTGTGCATATTTGCTCACACACTCAGACGTGCGCACCATCAGGGCCAGTGGGGAACATCTATCAGGACTTAATTAGTGTGTGTGTGTGTGTGTCACTGCTCAAGCTTTTCTTTTTTTTAAAGTAAAATAAAACAAAAGCGACTGACCCCTTGGATTCTCATTCAAGTCAAAGTTTACAAAAAAATGTATACAAGCGATGATCAGACTTTAATCATTCTTATTTATCCTTTTTAAATGATCATTTGTACTTTATTAACAACACATTCAGGCCCACCGACGGTTATGAACACATTTGTTGTATTTCATTTTTGGTTCATATAAACTTGAAATAAAAATGACTTTTCACAAGAAACTAAGTATGCCCATGTTACAAGTTCTTGCTGTTGTTGAGCTCCGACAATGACATTACGCTAAGGATGACACATTGTTATTGATTATTATTATTATTACGATATTCATGTTTGTGATTAGGTTTCCATGGAGATTTGATTGGCTTGATAGTTTTGTGCTCAATCTCTGTAATGTCCCAATCACTCCATCTCCACAGACTGCACGAGCGCCCTACAACAGCAGGTGGTGTATGTGTGTGTGTGTGTGTAGGGAAGGGGGGGAGGGGTGGGGGGGCTTAGGTCACTGAGGACTTTTGAAGGCACAAAAGGTTGGCCTTCGGCCTGCGCTAGCCTCAGGGTCATTTAATATACATGGTTGTTTTTTTCGGCTAAAAACGCCTTACTATACATGATCGTTTTTTTCAGCTAAAAACGCCTTACTATACGTTTTTTTTGGCCCAAAAAACCTTAATATACATGGTTGTTTTTTTAGGGATAAAAACGCCTTACAATACAATGTCATTTTTTTTTTTGGCCCAAAACGCCTTACTATACATGGTTGTTTTTTTCGGCTAAAAATGCCTTCCTATACATGGTTGTTTTTTTCGGCTAAAACGCCTTACTATACATGGTCGTTTTTTTCCGAAAAAAAAAACGCCTTACTATACATGGTCGGTTTTTTTCGGCTAAAAACGCCTTACTATACATGGTCGTTTTTTTCGTGTTAAAACGCCTTACTCTACATGGTTGTTTTTTTTTCGTCTAAAAACGCCTGACTATACATGGTCGTTCTTTTCAGCTAAAAACGCCTTACTGTACATCAGGGGTGGCCACCCCGCGGCTCGCGAGCCGCATGTAGCTATTTGACTCCGTCAGCCTATCATCAATCCCGTTACTTGATTGACATAGAGAGCAACCAATCAGATGAGTGCATCACCGCTCATGCGCAAACAACGGCGCTAAGTGCTAAGCTAGTCAGCGAGTTACCTCTGATTTTAAGGCAGCGGTGCCCAATACGTCGATCACAATCGACCGGGAGCCAGCGAACTGGTCCCAAGTCGACCGCAAGGGGTGGGAGGAGGAAATGCGTGGGGAAAAAAAAGATTAAAAAAAAAAGTGACATGGCATCTAACATCGGTAACACACACTTCGGGTTGAGTGAACGCTGGCGCATCTGGCTGCCGCTGCTCAGCCGCAATTATTCTTTTTTTGCGTTTTTTTGCAGTTTGCTGTCGTTTCTGCGGTTTGCTCTCGTCATGGGGGAGTCCCTGCACTTCTGTCGAGGATCCCGTCGGGGCTTCCACCTCGATGGCTCCAGGGGCATCACCTCCTTTTGGTCGTCCTCCCGCCGGCCACGCAAAGACAACGGCATAAACGGCGGCCGATCCGCGGACCACGGCGTGTTGGCCGGCCTGGCTGGGTCGGCGAGTGCTCCTCACGACGGCGATGTTGCCGGCGTCAACTTTTGAAAATCGCGATTTAAAATCGCATGTTCAGTTTAAATTCATCTCTCCTTTTATTATTTATAATTTTATCTGTGGTTTTATTGTTCTTGTTTTGATTGTAAAGTGTCCTTGAGTGTTTTGAAAGGCGCTTATAAATGAAATGTATTGTTATTATGATTATTTGTTTGTTTGTATCTTTCATTCATTTTCAGCCCGTTCCGACTGTTGCTCATCGTGGTGTGCGTGCATATGTACGCGAGTGCACTGGTGGGCACCCTCGTGAGTGCGTAGCGCACGTGTGTGTGTGTGTGTGTGTGTGTGTGTGTGTGTGTGTGTGTGTGTGTGTGTGTGTGCGTGTGTGTGTGTGTGTGTGCGCGTGTGCGTGCGCGAGGAAGGCTATGATGTGGCTCTGTGCAGAAATTCAGTAAAAAATTTGGCTATTTGTCTCTGACTGGTTGGCCACCCCTGCTATACATGGTCGTTTTTTTTTTCGGCCCAAAACGCCTCAAAAAGGCCTGACTATACATGGTTGTTTTTTTCGGCTAAAAACGCCTTACTATACATGGTCGTTTTTTTCGTGTTAAAACGCCTTACTCTACATGGTTGTTTTTTTTT